ATAAAAAGTTATAGATGATTTTCACCATTTTATTCATTGGCGGAATTTCCAGAGAATTGACAGTTCAACTTTAAATATTTGGCAGAAAAAAATACGGTTTTGCTTCTATTTAAAAACATATTTGCTGTTTCATTTACTCATTAATGAAACCAGGTTTATTTGCAAATTGTAAAATATCTCATACAGTAGATCTGTTGCTAACAGATTATTGTGAGTGGGTAAGTGGGTGGACATGTTTCCAGTATAAGCCTCTATAGATATGACATGAGTCATGCGTAAAGTAGGGGCTTCCATAATGTATAGTAACTGGGGTTAAATAACAACACACTGGAACAGAAGGGCAATGTAGTGGGTGGAACTGTAAGAAAGTTGTCTCGGTTAAAAGTACAGTTATTGGAATAATAAAAAATAAATTAAAATACAAAAAACCCAGAGAAATGAACAGAGGAAATGAGCTATGAGAACCTCGTAAACCACAGGAAATAATATATTACATAAAAAGAATTTAAAAAAAACAAACTATTAGACACAGAGTATAAAGTGTTAAAGGAAATGTTTAAAGTCTAGTTTTCCAGTAATTTTAAAACAGCAGGAAGTTCTCACCTATATCAAAAGAATGCTGAAGAAAACAAAGTGACAGATACAATATACAAAATACAATGAACGCTATACTAAGCCAACTAACAATGTGTGTATCGTTCTGTATATTTCGTACATTTTTTTTTCTGTCCCGTATTAAGCTGGATTTGCCTTTCCACTGCCTTTGCTATCCAGTGCTCCATTATATGTCTTTCTCTCTTTTGGCTGAGAATTAAAAAATATTTTGTGAGCTTTGAAGCCTGTGCTTAGTGAGTGAGTGCACTGGATCGTGTATATTTTATACACCGTTATAATGTATGCATGCTCGGGTGAGTGCAGCCTCTTGGTTTCAAATAAAACCGAGCAAAACTTCCCGGTTTCGCATCCCTCCCTGTTACAGGTGACATTCTTATTATGCAATATATGATCATATAATGTAACTAAATGCCCATTGTTAATGCCTAAGTCAGCTGTTTTTAGAAAAAAAAACTATTAACAATTGTTAGCTTTGAAGTTGGTGTGAGTGAGCGTGCAGGATTAAGTATACTGTATATATATTGGCTTTCTCATTCCTCCAGGTAGTATTTTGTGGGTTCATTATTCTTGATTCTGTGGTGACTGGGTATTGCCTGTCTGGATCTGAAAGTCCTACAGGATCTTAACCGTGTCATTCTCAACTACCTCTTGTGGTATCTCTCATAAGGATTTAGGCATATTAAACCCATATATTCTGTGCAGACGTTTTGTTACATAACCCCAAAAACTTGGCTGTGCCTCTAAGTGTATGCTGTTCCTGCTTCATCTTGTACCCGGCTGCTATATGTTGGATTGTCTCAGAGGCCTCTTTGCACAGTCTGCACCATTGGGTCCTGTCTGGTGTGGTAGACCCCCATTTCTATTTATCTGGGGCTGTCTGCGTTTTCCTCCATATGACATTATCTGTGCATCATTTCAGATAATTACTGCTTCAAAGGGAATCTAGAGGCACCAAGACAACTTCAGCTTATTATGGTCGGGGTAAAATGTCAATGTCACCCCCTCTAAATTAAGTGTTTCATAAAGATACAAACTGATAAGTCTGTCCCAGCCTGTTCCATTTATCACATATTAGGCCCAAAACAGTCACATTGAAAACATTCTCCATCTGAGCTGTTCATTATTCAGTATTTCCTACAATCCTTCATCTTAAACCTCATATTGTATCTAATATATATATATGTAATTATAGAAACATCAGTTGTTATCTCCTCTGATTTTACACCCCACTTTCTGTGGTGTGTAAGTAGTTGTTGTTTTAGTTTAGTTTGTTTGTTAAATATCAAATAAAAAGAGATCCCCAGAGTTAAATCCCCAAAACTAAAGAGGCCTTTAGCTCAGAGGCCAAGTCCCTAGACAAATAAAGGACCAATGAATGCACCTGTCACTATCTTAATATGAATCGTGCCAGATGGTGCCCACACCATCTGTCCAAATGAAAAAAATCGCAGAATAGAGGTGAGGGGGTCTAAGTGTTGAACCTCCCTTGGTAATGGGTCTGTGGGTGCCTCAGCTGGCTGTTTATTTGAAGTGGCAGGATATTTGCTGGACCTTCTCTACTACGGAATCTGATGGCACTATATAAATGTCAATAATAACTAGAAAAGTTACAATTTCAGGGGAAATTGTGTGAAGTGTTCTTGCCTCCACCAGGAGTCTACAACTGGAGAGGGCGGAGTAACTGTTATCATTTACATAGCACATTTAATTGCAACGTTGTTGCACAGTTACATTAAACCATACATTTATAAAAACATTAGCAGGTGTTCAAAAGGCCCTGTCTATGACATCACTTGCTGCTGCAGCTTGACACAGGTCAGTGTATTTTGGTGGTTGCCATCTTCAAACGGTCGTATCTTAAAAACTATAACTCCTACAGTGAAGAGCTTTATATTGTGAGAATCACAAGACCCAGACCTACATTTTGATGCATAGTATGTCTCTGAAGTATTAAAATTGAAGGCACAGTCGTAGTTTAGAAATTGCACTTCAAATTTGAGCTTTGCAGAGTGAAGTTTCAATGAATGTCAATGGACGGCGTTAGTTGCAAACAAATGGTCATATTGTGAAAACTATCTAGGCTATGTTTAGTGGCAGCAGGGATAGCTGAACGTTTTGATATAAGATTTGTGTAGGTGGGCCTGAAAATGAGGGAGTGGTGGCAGTTTAGAAATCATGTCCTGATTTTTCAGCTTTTGCCAGCTCCCACTCTAGCTTTGCCATTCATTCCTATGGGACAAATTTCGCCACAAGAACGACGATATTCCGTGAACCATTCGGCGAAACGTTCCACAAAATAATAGCAATCCGATCGGGAACAATCTGCACGTTTTGGTAAATTTTTGTCTATGTAGTGTAAAAACTGTGGGAGGGGTTAGGGTGGCAAATTTTGCTATAATAATAATAATAATAACTAGAAAAGCTACAATTTCTGGGGAAATTGTGTGAAGTGTTCTTGCCTCCACCAGTAGTCTACAACTGGAGTGGGCGGAGTAACTGTTATCATTTATATAGCACATTTAATTGCAACGTTGTTGCAGTTACATTAAACCATACATTTATAAAACATTAGCAGGTGTTCAAAAGGCCCTGTCTATGACATCACTTGCTGCTGCAGCTTGACACAGGTCAGAGTATTTTGGCGGTTGCCATCTTCAAACGGTCGTATCTTAGAAACTATAACTCCTACAGTGAAGAGCTTTATATTGTGAGAATCACAAGACCCAGACCTACATTTTGATGCATAGTATGTCTCTGAAGTATTAAAATTGAAGGCACAGTCGCAGTTTAGAAATTGCACTTCAAATTTGAGCTTTGCAGAGTGAAGTTTCAATGAAAGTCAATGGGCGGCGTTAGTTGCAAACAAATGATTATATTGTGAAAACTATCAGGACTATGGCTTAGCCGTTGACATGTTTAGTGGCAGGAGGGATCGCTGAACGTTTTGATATAAGATTTGTGTAGGTGGGCCTGAAAATAAGGGAGTGGTGGCAGTTTAGAAATCATGTCCTGATTTTTCAGCTTTTGGCAGCTCCCACTCTAGCTTTGCCATTCATTTCTATGGGACAAATTGCGCCACAAAAACGACGATATTCCGTGAACCATTCGGCGAAACGTTCCACAAAGTAATAGCAATCCGATCGGGAACAATCTGCACGTTTTGGTAAATTTTGGTGTATGTAGTGTAAAAACTGTGGGAGGAGTTAGGGTGGCAAATTTTGCTATAATAATAAGAATAATAATAACTAGAAAAGTTACAATTTCAGGGGAAATTGTGTGAAGTGTTCTTGCCTCCACCAGTAGTCTACAACTGGAGTGGGCTGAGTAACTGTTATCATTTATATAACACATTTAATTGCAACGTTGTTGCACAGTTACATTAAACCATACATTTATAAAACATTAGCAGGTGTTCAAAAGGCCCTGTCTATGACATCACTTGCTGCTGCAGCTTGACACAGGTCAGAGTATTTTGGCGGTTGCCATCTTCAAACAGTCGTATCTTAAAAACTATAACTCCTACAGCGAAGAGCTTTATATTGTGAGAATCACAAGACCCAGACCTACATTATGATGCTTGGTATGTCTCTGAAGTATTAAAATTGAAGGCACAGTCGCAGTTTAGAAATTGCACTTCAAATTTGAGCTTTGCAGAGTGAAGTTTCAATGAAAGTCAATGGACGGCGTTAGATGCAAACAAATGATTATATTGTGAAAACTATCAGGACTACGACTTAGCCGTTGACATGTTTAGTGGCAGCAGGGATAGATCAACGTTTTGATATAAGATTTGTGTAGGTGGGCCTGAAAATAAGGGAGTGGTGGCAGTTTAGAAATCATGTCCTGATTTTTCAGCTTTTGGCAGCTCCCACTCTAGCTTTGCCATTCATTCCTATGGGACAATTTGCCACAAGAACGACGATATTCCGTGAACCATTCGGCGAAACGTTCCACAAAGTAATATCAATCCGATCGGGAACAATCTGCACGTTTTGGTAAATTTTGGTCTATGTAGTGTAAAAACTGTGGGAGGAGTTAGGGTGGCAAATTTTGCCATAATAATAATAATAAGAATAATAATAATAACTAGAAAAGCTACAATTTCTGGGGAAATTGTGTGAAGTGTTCTTGCCTCCACCAGTAGTCTACAACTGGAGTGGGCGGAGTAACTGTTATCATTTATATAGCACATTTAATTGCAACGTTGTTGCACAGTTACATTAAACCATACACTTATAAAAACATTAGCAGGTGTTCAAAAGGCCCTGTCTATGACATCACTTGCTGCTGCAGCCTTGACAGGTCAGAGTATTTTGGTGGTTGCCATCTTCAAACGGCCATATTTTAAAAACTATAACTCCTACAGTGAAGAGCTTTATATTGTGAGAATCACAAGACCCAGACCTACATTTTGATGCATAGTATGTCTCTGAAGTATTAAAATTGAAGGCACAGTCGCAGTTTAGAAATTGCACTTCAAATTTGAGCTTTGTAGAGTGAAGTTTCAATGAAAGTCAATGGACGGCGTTAGTTGCAAACAAATGATTATATTGTGAAAACTATCAGGACTACAGCTTAGCCGTTGACATGTTTAGTGGCAGCAGGGATAGCTGAACGTTTTGATATAAGATTTGTGTAGGTTGGCCTGAAAATAAGGGAGTGGTGGCAGTTTAGAAATCATGTCCTGATTTTTCAGCTTTTGCCAGCTCACACTCTAGCTTTGCCATTCATTCCTATGGGACAAATTTCACCACAAAAACGACGATATTCCGTGAACCATTCGGCAAAACGTTCCACAAAGTAATAGCAATCCGATCGGGAACAATCTGCACGTTTTGGTAAATTTTTGTCTATGTAGTGTAAAAACTGTGGGAGGAGTTAGGGTGGCAAATTTTGCTATCATAAGAATAATAATAACTAGAAAAGCTACAATTTCTGGGGAAATTGTGTGAAGTGTTCTTGCCTCAACCAGTAGTCTAGCACATTCAATTGCAACGTTGTTGCACAGTTACATTACACCATACATTTATAAAAACATTAGCAGGTGTTCAAAAGGCCCTGTCTATGACATCACTTGCTGCTGCAGCTTGACACAGGTCAGAGTATTTTGGTGGTTGCCATCTTCAAACGGTCATATCTTAAAAAGTATAACTCCTACAGTGAAGAGCTTTATATTGTGAGAATCACAACACCCAGACCTACATTTTGATGCATAGTATGTCTCTGAAGTATTAAAATTGAAGGCACAGTCGCAGTTTAGAAATTGCACTTCAAATTTGAGTTTTGCAGAGTGAAGTTTCAATGAATGTCAATGGACGGCGTTGGTTGCAAACAAATGGTCATATTGTGAAAACTATCAGGACTACGGCTTAGCCGTTGACATGTTTAGTGGCAGCAGGGATAGCTGAACGTTTTGATATAAGATTTGTGTAGGTGGGCCTGAAAATAAGGGAGTGGTGGCAGTTTAGAAATCATGTCCTGATTTTTCAGCTTTTGGCAGCTCCCACTCTAGCTTTGCCATTCATTCCTATGGGACAAATTGCGCCACAAAAACGACGATATTCCGTGAACCATTCGGCGAAACGTTCCACAAAGTAATAGCAATCCGATCGGGAACAATCTGCACGTTTTGGTAAATTTTGGTCTATGTAGTGTAAAAACTGCGGGAGGAGTTAGGGTGGCAAATTTTGCTATAATAATAATAATAATAACTAGAAAAGTTACAATTTCTGGGGAAATTGTGTGAAGTGTTCTTGCCTCCACCTGTAGTCTACAACTGGAGTGGGCGGAGTAACTGTTATCATTTACATAGCACATTTAATTGCAACGTTGTTGCACAGTTACATTAAACCATACATTTATAAAAACATTAGCAAGGGTTCAAAAGGCCCTGTCTATGACATCACTTGCTGCTGCAGCTTGACACAGGTCAGAGTATTTTGGTGGTTGCCATCTTCAAATGGTCGTATCTTAAAAACTATAACTCCTATAGTGAAGAGCTTTATATTGTGAGAATCACAAGACCCAGACCTACATTTTGATGCATAGTATGTCTCTGAAGTATTAAAATTGAAGGCACAGTCGCAGTTTAGAAATTGCACTTCACATTTGAGCTTTGTAGAGGGATGTTTCAATGAAAGTCAATGGACGGCGTTAGTTGCAAACAAATGATTATATTGTGAAAACTATCAGGACTACGGCTTAGCCGTTGACATGTTTAGTGGCAGCAGGGATAGCTGAACGTTCTGATATAAGATTTGTGTAGGTGGGCTTGAAAATGAGGGAGTGGTGGCAGTTTAGAAATCATGTCCTGATTTTTCAGCTTTTGGCAGCTCCCACTCTAGCTTTGCCATTCATTCCTATGGGACAAATTGCGCCACAAGAACGACGATATTCCGTGAACCATTCGGCAAAACGTTCCACAAAGTAATAGCAATCCGATCGGGAACAATCTGCGCGTTTTGGTAAATTTTGGTCATGTGAGTGTGTAAAAACTGTAGGAGGAGTTAGGGTGGCAAATTTTGCTATAATAAGAATAATAATATATGTAATAATAATATATATATATGTGAGATAACATTAAGTGGTCTTGCTATGCAAGAACACTTAATAATATAATAACTATATATGTGAGATAACGATAAGTGGTCTTACTTTATGCAAGAACACTTAATAACTCTTTAGAAAAAGTTAAAAATTTGGGAAATTGTGTGAAGTGTTCTTGCCTCCACCTGTAGTCTACAACTGGAGTGGTAGGGTAACTGTTATAATTTACATAGCATTTAATTGCAACGTTGTTGCACAGTTACGATAAACCATACATTTATAAAAACATTAGCAGGTGTTCAAAAGGCCTGTCTATGACATCACTTGCTGCTGCAGCTTGACACAGGTCAGAGTATTTTGGCGGTTGCCATCTTCAAACGGTCGTATCTTACAAACTATAACTCCTACAGCGAAGAGCTTTATATTGTGAGAATCACAAGACCCAGACCTACATTTTGATGCATAGTATGTCTTTGAAGTATTAAAATTGAAGGCACAGTCGCAGTTTAGAAATTGCACTTCAAATTTGAGCTTTGTAGAGTGATGTTTCAATGAATGTCAATGGGCGGCGTTAGTTGCAAACAAATGATTATATTGTGAAAACTATCAGGACTATGGCTTAGCCGTTGACATGTTTAGTGGCAGCAGGGATAGCTGAACGTTTTGATAAGATTTGTGTAGGTGGGCTTGAAAATGAGGGAGTGGTGGCAGTTTAGAAATCATGTCCTGATTTTTCAGCTTTTGCCAGCTCCCACTCTAGTTTTGAACATATTGCCATTCATTCCTACGGGACCAATTTTGCCACAAGAATGACCATATTCCGTGAACCATTAGGCAAAACGTTCCACAAAGTAATAGCAATCCAATCGGGAACAATCCGCACGTTTCGGTATATTACTGTCTATGTAGTGTAAAAACTGTGGGAGGAGTTAGGGTGGTAAAGGTCATAATAAGAATAACTAGAAAAGCTACAATTTCTGGGGAAATTGTGTGAAATGTTCTTGCCTCCACCAGTAGTCTACAACTGGAGTGGGCGGAGTAACTGTTATCATTTATATAGCACATTTAATTGCAACGTTGTTGCACAGTTACATTAAACCATACATTTATAAAAACATTAGCAGGTGTTCAAAAGGCCCTGTCTATGACATCACTTGCTGCTGCAGCCTTGACAGGCCAGAGTATTTTGGTGGTTGCCATCTTCAAACGGTCGTATTTTAAAAACTATAAATCTTACAGCGAAGAGCTTTATATTGTGAGAATCACAAGACCCAGACCTACATTTCGATGCATAGTATGTCTCTGAAGTATTAAAATTGAAGGCGCAGTCGCAGTTTAGAAATTGCACTTCAAATTTGAGCTTTGCAGAGTGAAGTTTCAATGAATGTCAATGGACGGCGTTGGTTGCAAACAAATGGTCATATTGTGAAAGCTATCAGGACTACGGCTTAGCCGTTTACATGTTTAGTGGCAGCAGGGATAGCTGAACGTTTTGATATAAGATTTGTGTAGGTGGGCTTGAAAATGAGGGAGTGGTGGCAGTTTAGAAATCATGTCCTGATTTTTCAGCTTTTGCCAGCTCCCACTCTAACTTTGCCATTCATTCCTATGGGA